AGAGACAGGGAGCGGGGGCGCCTCCAGGGTGCGGGGCCGGGGAGCGGGGGGCAAGGCATGCCCATTGCCCTGCCATCCCCTGCCTGGGGAGCCTCCATGTGTGGCTGGCAGACTTTTCCATGGCATCAATTGCGAACGGGGATACTGTGTGTGCGTGGGGCCGAAGCGGGATGGGGAGAGGGATGAGAGGCATTTTGTAATGACTGCTCCTGTCCTGCTGCAATTACTGGACCACAGAGGCCCCATGCTGTGGGGAGCAGGTGCTGCTGACCAGGACTCATGTGGTGTCTAACCAGGGGGGCTGTGGTTGGGCACCCAGGGCAGGGCTGGCTTCTTGTAGCGTGGATTCCCCGAAGATGCTGCTCCTGCCAGCCCTAGGGACTGCCCAGTCTTGGGGGTGGTAAGGGATTCACCCATTGCTGGGTTGATCACAGGGAGCTGGGTTTTCCCACCTGCAGCTGGGATTGCCTCCTTCTCCATGGGATTTAAAGGGGTCCGGGTAGTGCTGGACCCTGAACTTCCCTGGTGTCCCTCGGCAGCTGGCAGAGCTTGAAATCCCTTTTATATACTGTTGGAAACCCTTCCTAAATCCAGCTTTCAGGCTTTCCTATCCTCAGCTCCCCTCCACTGCCACTTTGCTCTTACCAGGCTCTCTGGGTTCCCATCTCCCCCTGTACTGGGTACAAAGCCCTTTCCTGTGCCCATCCCGTGTGGGGACGCCGTGGTGTGGGGTGACAGAGGCTGGCAGCCACAGCTCCTTCATGGGGACAACCTGCAGCTGTGGGTCAGCCCTTCCTGGAGCACCCCGAGCAGTGACCCAGTGCTGTGACCTCTTTTGGGCTCTGCCTTCTGCCAAACCATGCCCACTAACCACAAGACAGGGCGACTCCAACCTGTGCCAGCCTTCAGATGAATGAGAACCCAGGAGAATTTAATCCCCACCAGGAAATTGCAGGAAACTGGGACATGATGTAGAAAAGCCGGCAGTAGCCTGGTGAAAGCCAGCAGCTGATGGCCCTGGCAGCCTCACAGCTGCCTACCTTTCTCTGCTGTTGTTTGGAAGCATCATCTGGCCTTTCCGTCTCCTCCTCTTTCCTACAAATTGCTTTTTCAGATGACTTTGTGACTGCAAGATCCATTAAAAGTTGTCTTTGTCCCTTCCAAAGGCTTTCAGAGATACTTGAAAGAATTTCTCTCCTGTTTAACATTTATTCAGGAATTCATTTAGTCTCACAGTGATCAGCTGGAATGAAAAGCAGATGTCTCCAGAGTTATTTTACCCATTCCCTGTGCTGCTTGGGGCCCTGCTGTCCTTCAATACACAGAAATATTCTTGCTGAACTCCAGATGGGGACTCTGGTGCTTGGATTCACCTGGCACCTTGGGACCACTGTGGCTGATGCTGCATGGCCGATGGAGGAGTTTGCACATTTTTGGCTGCAGCACCCACCCCTGGACCCTGACAGCCGCTTCCCTCTCTCGTTATGATCTGCTTCCCATCAGTGAGCCAGGAGTTGTAAGCCTTCTCACCAGACATGTTTTAGACATGTGGAAATGCCTCTTTAATAGAGATCTTTCTCAGGCTTTAAGGTTTTCAGGTTGGCTTTTGCATACAAGTATTTCCAGAAGAGCCAAGATTATGTTATTTTATTTTTTTTGCTTTTTTTCTTTGAGGGGTTTAGGGCTGTACCTCTCGTACCCACTCAGGCTGCCAAACTACTGCCCTCCTCTGCCTGCCACAAACTGCCTCAAACCTTCCCTGCTCCTTCCCCGGGGTTGTTGGATGAAAGGCCATAGGTGTTTGCAGCCGTGCATGCTCCCTGTGCTCTGGACGTCACTGTAATGAGTTTGCTTCAGCCTCAGCAACCTCCAGTCCCCAAATCCCCTGCGCTGGGATCATCATCACTTGCTTCCTCTCCTGGTATGTGCTGGGGGAAAGCAGGGCCAGCGCAGCCCTTCAAGGGGCTGTTCCACACCATCAAGTTGCTTTATTTACTTCATTTTCTAAGCGATATATCATTTGAATTAATTTTTATGCTGTTTTTCCTTTTTCTCAAAGAGAAGCATTTCAAACTAATCTGAAGTGACTCACACTTTACAGACGCACTGTGCTCACACACAGCTTGCATCCACAGGGGAGAAATCTGGCTTTGGGTGGCATTTCTCCCAGCCAAAGGCTGTGGTCCATGCACAAAACACTGGCAAAATAACCTCACAATGTCAGTTTGAATAGAGACAAAATATGATCAAAAAGTATCTTAAATCTGGCTGTTTTTTCACAGATAGAGCTGAGTTTTGCTCTGGTTTAAGTAAATTGGTTCACAGAAATATATTAACACAGGGTAATTGCCTTATGGAAGCCAACTCTTATCTTGGCAAAGACTACAGTGCTTTTTCTTCTCAGTGACCTTTGCTTTGCTGACTTCTTTGGGAGCATCTTCTGGTGAATAATGGAAAGTGATGCTGTGTTCAGAGAGGACATGGTTGCCAAGGGAGCTGTTAGTCCCCGTCTGTTTATAACCGCAAGACAGGAGCCCAGTTTGAGAGATGGCAGTTGGTGGTGGAAAGCACCAGAGCAATATCATAGCACCAGAGCGCTTCAGCTGCTCCTGAAAAAGAAAATTCTTTTTATGACAAAGGTTGAAAGGGAGCATTAATGCTAAAAAAAGGGCTGGGATTGAGCCGATGTGTGAGATTTGCAGCATCCTGAAGTAGAAAGGTGTGCATCTCTCTGCAATTTGGGACAAAGATGGGCTGGAATCCTTAAATACTACATTTTGCAATTCATTTTAAGTCAGAAAAATAGGCCAGGTTTTGTGTGATTTCTATGGAGAGGCTATGATTCCGGGCATTTTTGAGCATTGCAGTCATGGAGCAGCCTCCATGTGTGTTTTCCAGCAGCATCCCTGGCCTGTGCCTCTGATGGGGACTGCAATGTTACCATCCTTGGGGTCTGCTCTGCCCAGGATCCTAAATTTAAACTGCAGAGCTCCAACTGAAGATATTAATAAGAGGGGCAGTCAGCACCAAGACAGGCTTGACAAGCTACATCCTGTGGCCTCTGAAAAGGATGGCTGAGCCATGTACAGTTTGAAAAAGATTCTGCTGGTTCCTTTTATTTTGCTGGTTCCGTGTTGGTTTCCATGCTACATCTGATGATGGGCACCTGCATTTCATCAGATCATGTGGCTCCACTGTGCCCTCTCACAACTGTTCAGGATTCCAGCGGAGGTGCAGGAATTAGGCAAGGGGATTTAATGCCCTGCTGGCATCCCTGCTTGCTGTTTCTCTGTGATACAAACTCAGAAAGCAAGAGCTTCCCCAGACAGCGTGAGGGACTAGGGAGTATTTTTCTGGGGAAGACCAAACTGCAATGGCTCATAGTTTCTGTCCCCACCTGGCAGGGACCTTTGTGAGTGTAGGCATTATCTGCTGAAACTTTTGGGAAGGATGTTGCAGAGCAGTCTGCCCATCGCCCACAAACAACAGGTTGCTGTTGGTCATGCCTGCTGTGTGAGCTGGGTTAATTAGCAGGCATGGCCATGGTCTGGAGAAGCTGCGAAGCTGGAGAGCTGTGTTAAACTGCAGGAGGGCTGCCAGATAGCAACGGTTTTATAGCAACAGTATTACATTTGGGTCACGTTTTTACTTTACAGCCTCTGTTTCTGAAGCTTTTCTTCTGGCCCTTGCTTTGTGACGGTGGTATCCAGCGGGGATGAGCTTTTAAGGGTGTATTTTAGTGTAATGCCTTTGCTGGGGCTGTGTGTTTCAGATTGGCTTTGGGAAGAGTTTGCCCCAGCTCATCCTGTCCCTCAAGGGGTTTGCATGCTGGGTGGGAATGGGTTCACTTCTGCATTTGGTGCCGTTGGGCTGCAAGCAGCACACATGTGGTGCTGGTGGCTGAAAGAGTGGGGTGCACCCTGCAAAGGGTGGGTGCGTGTGGCCATTGCCATCAGCAAGATGACTCCTTGTCTCCATGGAAACCTGCAGCAGGAGCTTCCTGTGGTCCAGCTGGAGAGGAGGTGGCTGCCACCTTCCCAGGAGCTGTGGCTGGGCAGCTCTGGGTTTTGCTCATCAGCCAGCTCTGATCTCCTGGGAGGTGGATGTCTGCCATGGGCTCTGAGCACACATGCTCACTAGGACCCACAACTCCTTCTGGCTGATCTCTCCAAATACAGGCTGCTCTCCCTCAACCACATCCCACAGGCTTGTTCCCTACAATCTGTGAACACAAGGATGGCTGCTCTTTCCTTTTGAGAGCCCAAGAAGACAGGAAGGTTCCCAAATGGGCTCCTCCTGCCCTGGACCTGGTGCTCTGTCAGCACAGACCCCAGCATCCTTCTGTCTCTGTGCCTCATTACCAGCCAAGCCTGACACACGCCCAGGCAGAGACATGGTAACATGCACAGGGGCAGGATCCTCATCCCACCCTTTTTGGCTGCCCAGTCCTGCCCAGGAGATATCTGTGATGGGATTTCACTCAGCAGCTGCTGGCTGAGCCTTCCAGCTTTGGTGACTGCCAGTGGGATGGGAGCTGGCAGGGATGACCTCCCTGCTCTCCCACAGTCAGGAGGCTGGGGAAGTCCAGATAGACAAAACAGGTCTTCATTGCAGACCTGATGTACAAACACCAAGGAGCCCTCTCAGTGCATCACCTCAACCTAAATGTATTGCAGGACTCGCATCTCCCACTTGGCAGGCTGAGGCAGCCAGGGAGGAAGGGAACAGATTAATCCCCTGCCTGCTGAAGAGCTGGCCTGTGCCTCACTCATCCAGGGCAGATTAGGAAAGCTGGAAGGAGCTTGCTCAGTAGGGACAACTGGTTGCGAGTCACTAAATCCCCACAGTGTAGGCTTTTGGCAGTTGGAAAAGCGTGAAAAAGGCATGGAGCGTTTAATGGTAGTCAAGCCCAGCATGGCCTGGGCTGGGGCCATCGTGCTCCCTGGCACACTGGTGGTGTTTCTTCCCCTGTTGTTCTCTCACACGTGCTCTGCAGGAGTTCAGGAAAGTTTATCGTGGCCCCTTGGAAGGATTTCTTGGGAAACCGGGGTTGCAAGATTGGGGCTGGACTCCCAAGGTGAGCTGGGGCTCTCCTGCCTTTCCCAGGTGAGCTCTGGCTATGTGGGATTGCATTTATCCCCTTTCCTTACAGAGCAGGCTATTGACTGGGGTGGTGCACAGAGAGCCGCTGGGACAGAGTGTCCCCTAGGGACAAGTGTCAGTGCTGCGAGTCGGGGTCACCAGTACACACCTGAGCTCTCAGCGCCCCTTCCCTCTCTCCTGCTCTTCATCCCCTGCTTTTATTCCTTCCTCCATCCCCGGCAGTCCTCTCACATCCCCTGCTTTCCTCTTGTTCAGCCGGTGACACCAGAGCTCCTGGTGAGCCCCAGCAGCCAGGATGGGGACCTGGGCTCTGAGTGCCCTGAAGACAGAGGGAACTGGACAGGACGGCTGGATTTCCTCCTCTCCTGCATCGGATACTGTGTGGGCCTGGGAAATGTCTGGAGGTTCCCCTACAGGGCTTACACTAATGGAGGAGGTACTTGGGCATCCTTTGTAGTGGCCACGTCTTCCTTTCACTGAGCTGGGCTGGTGGGACATGTCTCTGAAGAGCTATCCCTTCACCTTCTCCAGACTGGGAAACAGCACTTCTTGCTGTGGGGTGAAGCCTTCTCCTGCCCCTCAGGTTTGCTGTAGGGCATTAACCACCTGTATGCATGAGTGGAAGGAGCTCACCAGCCCATTTCTGTACCCATAGCCTTGGAGACATCCCCAGCTCCATGCTGGACTGGATACCTCCTCAGAATCCCCCTTGGTTTCCAATAGCTTCTTGGCCTGGTGTCCTCTAGAACTCAGCAGGGTTAGCAAATGCTTCCTAGGTACTGAAGGAGGGGAGCAAGCCTTTTGCAATGCAAGAGCTCGGTGTGATGGTGCAAAGTGCCCAGCTTGTTCAGCTACTCCCAGAGTAATTGCTTGTCACATGCAACAACTGGAGAATTTCACAGTGTTTGTGAAACATTCAAGGAGAAAAGAGACGCAGGGGCTGGGAGGAAGCACAGCATCAGGTTAATCACAGCCCCTTCCTTCTGCACTAATGGTGAGCTGCTGCCCCTTGCTGCCTTCCAGATGTTGATGTAGGTCCCTCAGGGCCACAGATGTTGAATGAATGTTATTCCCTGTCATAGATGGGCTTTAGATGTTTGCTCTGTGTTATTTTGGGGGGTATTTTTTTCCTTCTTCTTGCAGGAGCTTTCCTGGTTCCTTACTTCATCATGCTGGCCATCTGTGGGATCCCCATCTTCTTCATGGAACTGTCACTTGGCCAGTTTTCCAGCCTGGGGCCACTCGCCGTCTGGAAGATAAGCCCTCTCTTTAAAGGTGCGTGAGTGAAGTCCAGAGCCTCTGGAAGAGCTGCTTGACGGGGATGTGAACCAGCAGCAGCGTCTCGTGATCCTCAAAGCTCTTGTTAGAATCAAAGGTTAAATCCTGAGGGAAGGTGGAGTAGGCTGGACCTCTGAGTTAGCTGTTTTAGTAGCTGCAAGATATGATGAGACCTATCAGTCTTTGGAGGCTCTGGAAATTGCATGAAAATTAAGCCAATTAGTGTACAAAATACAGCATCAAAGCTAAGCCATGACTGTTAAAGACATAAGAATGTAAGAAGAAAGCATTCAAAAAAAGGTCAGATGAAATACTTTCACTCTCAACATTAAGTTGGAGTAAAATCACCTGTAAGGTGCAATAGATCATCAGTTCAGAGAAGACATGTCCAAAGGGTATAATGGCATTAAGAGGCTCTCCCCTCCAGGTGAACCTCTGACTGGTTAAACATTTGGCTGCTGAGAACCAGTGTCTGATCCTGGTTTTGGATGTGCTCTGCTCTGGAGAGATGGCTCACTCCTTCTTTACCCTCTCCCTCCTCCAGGCGTTGGCATGGGCACGATCCTCATCGTCTCCCTGGTGGCCATTTACTACAACATGATCATTGCTTACGTTCTCTTCTACCTCTTTGCATCCCTCACAAGCGACTTGCCCTGGCAGCACTGTGGCAACTGGTGGAATACCGATCTGTGCCTGGACCACCACGTCATCAAGGCAGGGAACATCACCTTCCCTGTCAACACCACCAACACTGTCAGCCCCAGCGAGGAGTACTGGAGGTAAAGAGGTAAAGGGACAATCGTGTCCCTGGTCGTGGGGAAGTGGTTGGCATCCAACCAGGGAGGGCATGCGGATGGGATGAGGGGTGAAAGTCTGTACTGCACTTCCTATGGCATGGTGGGCACTCATGGTGGGTGTTGTGGTCAATGGTTCTCATGGTCAGCTGTGGGGTGATATTTCAGTTTAGCCTTTTGGATCATGTCCTTGGGATGTGGGAAGTGTCCACAATCTAGCACTGCTTTGCTGGCCTGGAGATATATTAGACTGAAATGCATCCTATGCCTGGCCCAGCTGTAATTTGCTGTCAAGATGCCAGGCATCCCCTCTGGGCTCTTTAATGGATCACAGAATCACAGAATCACAGAACGTTAGGGATTGGAAGGGGCCTCAAAAGATCATCCAGTCCAATCCCCCTGCCGGAGCAGGAACACCCAGATGAGGTTGCACAGGAAGGCGTCCAGGCGGGTTTTGAATGTCTCCAGAGAAGGAGACTCCACAGCCTCTCTGGGCAGCCTGGGCCAGTGCTCTGTCACCCTCACTGAGAAGAAGTTTCTTCTCAAATTTAAGTGGAACCTCCTGTGTTCCACCTTGTGCCCATTACCCCTTGTCCTATCATTGTTTGTCACCGAGAAGAGCCTGACTCCATCCTTGTGACACTCACCCTTTAAATATTTATAAACATGAATGAGGTCTCCCCTCAGTCTCCTCTTCTGCAAACTAAAGAGACCCAGCTCCCTCAGCCGCTCCTCATAAGGGAGATGCTCCACTCCCTTGATGATGGTGGAGAAATCTCACCAGCTTCTCCCCTTTCCATGGCAAATAGCTGCCAGCACCTTGTTGCTCTCTTATTGCTGGGGTTCTTATTTAGCGGCTGAAGCATTGCTGGGTTCAGAGGGGGTCTCTGGAAGAAGGCAGAGGGTGCCTCACGGGCAGTTCTCCTTTCACCCTAGCCGGTACGTCCTGCACATCCAAGGGAGCTCTGGGATCGGAGATCCTGGAAGGATCCGCTGGAACCTGTGTCTGTGCCTGCTCCTTTCTTGGACTATCGTCTATCTGTGCATCCTAAAGGGAGTCAAATCCTCCGGCAAGGTAAGGGCTGGACAGTCCCTTTTGGGAGGATCTGCAGTGCCTGCGATTCTCTGCACGTCTGGGAAAGTGTTACCCACAAACACCATCAGCTGGACACAGGCCACTTTGGGATGGTTTGTACACCCAGACACTGGCAGGGCTGACGTCACTGTCCCTGCTGCATCCCAAGGACCCCGGCTCTGCAGTGATGCCAGGCGTTGCGATGTCCCACCCCAGGGAGGAGCACTCGTGCTGTGCCCTCACTCCTGGCTCTTTCAGCTGGCTCTGCTCTCCTACAGGTCGTGTACTTTACCGCCACCTTCCCCTACCTCATCCTGGTGATGCTGCTTATCCGTGGCGTGACCCTGGAGGGGGCCTGGAAGGGGATCCGGTTTTACCTCACGCCCCAGTTTGATCACTTGCTGTCTTCCAAGGTGAGCAGGATTTGGTGCAATTTGTTTAAGACACAAAATGAAGCTTCTCCTGCCACGTCTAGCATGCAACAGAGCTGATTCCTTTACTCAATGCCTTTTCTGACCATCCCCTGTCCCAAAGTCCTCTCTCAGTTGCTGAGACCAAAATAGCGAAAGTATTTGACTTTCAGCAATCTGTCTTTGCTCCACACCTTGTCTATAGTACTCTGCGACATGGCCCAGCCCTGTGCCCACGTTTCTGGCTGTCCATGCAGGGGATGGAGTGCTCACCACCTCCCCTGGGTACCAAGACCATGGGCAGGATTAGCCCAGCCCCTGTGGTGGGCTGGGGGGTGGTGATGGGTGCCCATGGTGGATTTGGCTTTTCTGTTCTTGGTGTGAGGAGCAGGGAGTTTCCTTGGGTCAGCAGTGCTGGTACCAGAGACCTCCCACTTTTACAAGGGCATTCAATGCCACACTGAGTTGGCTGTCAAACGCTCTCATCAATCCCTCTGCTATCCAGCTGACCCACTGTGTGAGTGGTGAGTGTGTTAGCAAGGAAAGACAAAGACCTTGGAGGGCTGGGGTAGATGTGCTGGGGGCTCTAGGGAAGCTTATTTCCCGCTCCCTCTTCCTCAGGGGGAGGTTTCCAAAGCCCTGCTCTCCTCAAACTGGTTTCCTTCCCCTAGGTGTGGATCGAGGCGGCCCTGCAGATTTTCTACTCCCTTGGGGTAGGCTTTGGGGGCCTCCTCACCTTCGCCTCATACAACACCTTCCACCAGAATATCTACAGGTGGGGGCCAGTTGCTGTCTCATAAAAATCCTGAGCTGGGGGGAGCCGTGAAAAGCTCAACTGGTGGATTTCCAAGTCAGCAGAATCCCATGGGGCAGCAGGTGGTCCCCCAGCACTGCTTCTTGCCCCAGCACCTTACAGTGCAGCAGTTTGCACAGGCTTGAGAGGGACAGAGGGGTCTGTGGAAGAAAGTTCTCAAGTTCTAAACATCAAGGCACAGCACCTGACTCAAAGTTTTGGGCTGTAGATGCTGAAGGATGAAGATACTTGAGACTAGACTTAGGCATGTTTGTCCTGTTCCCAGCATTTGTTGCAGGTCACCAGCAGAGAGGAGTCTGGGTGCTGGACATTTGGTCTGATTGCCTCCACAGGAGAAAGCAAGCCTGGGAGAAACCCCCAAATAACCCATGTTCCTAGATATATGTTCCTTTTGCATCTGGAAAGTACATACCAAGAGATGCCCCGGGGGAGAATTACACTGGGTCGTCTTACTCTGACACCCAGGGCTGGCAAAGCCACCATGCACTACTGTGGCCATTAAGGGGCTGGCATGTTCAGAGCATCTTTTTTCTCTGCTATAGGGACACCTTCATAGTGACCTTGGGCAATGCCATCACCAGCATCCTGGCAGGTTTTGCCATCTTCTCTGTTTTGGGATACATGTCCCAGGAGCTTGGGGTCCCTGTTAACCAGGTGGCAAAGGCAGGTAAGGCCAAATGAAGACCCTTTCTCCTTCGCCCTATGCCTGGGTGCGCTGAGGAGCATCCCTTTTGGATGGAAGGCATCTGAGAGTGTCAGTGTGAGGGATGAAGTTGTACGCTCAGCTGCCCAGAGGGAGGGAAGCAGAGAGACTAGTTCCTGCCATGCAAACGTTGAGCAACACCAAGTGATGTCTAATAAGGGTCTGAGCAAGGAGCAGGTTGGTTCTCCTGCACCTCTCCATCCTCTGCTGCAGGACCCCTCCTGCCCATCTTGCAAGAGCCCTGGCACATCCTCAGCGTGGTGTCGCTCTGTTGGGATCTTCTCTCCTCCATCCCCTGTGCTGTCATCCCCTTTTCACCCTGCTGTCCTTTGCCTCCCCTAGGTCCTGGCCTGGCTTTTGTCGTGTACCCCCAGGCCATGACAATGCTCCCCCTTTCTCCATTCTGGTCTTTCCTGTTCTTCTTCATGCTGTTAACCTTGGGCCTGGACAGCCAGGTAAGGACAGAGCTCCTGAGCTGGCTGCAGTATCCAGGCAGCCCAGGGGGCTCAGGAGACCCTCTGCTCCTCTGCATGCAGTTTGCCTTCATGGAGACCATTGTGACAGCAGTGACAGACGAATTTCCTTATTACTTGCGGCCAAAGAAAGCTTCCTTCTCGGCTGTCGTCTGCATCGCCCTCTTCCTGATGGGGCTCATCCTCACAACTGAGGTAAGGATGTGGGGCTGAATGTGTCATGGGGACTAACTGGGGCCTCATTTTAGGGAATGCTTAGAGGAGAGGCCAAGTTTGCATAAACAAGTATAATTCCCAGAAGTGGGAGAACATGAGATTCTGGTTGCGGGGATGCTGGCCACTGTGCTTTGCCTCCACAGGGTGGAATGTACTGGCTGGTCCTACTGGATGACTACAGCGCTGGCTTTGGTCTCATGGTGGTGGTGATCACTACCTGCCTTGTGGTGACACGTGTCTATGGTAAGGGGATCTGTCCCACAGGGGCGCAGGGAAGGGTGAGCTGTCTGTATGGAGAGGGACTTAGAGGGAGGAGGCAGGGATCTAGCAGCCTTCAATGGAGCGTGAAACACCTCTGCTCCAACCTCTTCTTTCTTCTTGGCTTCACTGGATTCACCTCTCCAGACTGATTTGGGGTGCTGAGCTTGGTCCCTCAGGCAGCACCAGCTAGGCCCCAATTCCTGCATCTCGCAGCTGGGGAGGGAGATATTTCTTTGCTGCAGAGAATGCAAACCACCACTTTTGGTTGGTGCAGGACAGCCGGGTACAGGCACCAGGCTCTGGAGGAGGGATCCTGGCTTCTGAGTCCTTCTCCTTCTCCCTCTTCCAGGTATAAAGAGGTTCTGCAGAGATATCCACATGATGCTGGGCTTCAAACCGGGCCCCTACTTCAGAGCCTGCTGGATGGTCCTGTCCCCGGCAACAATGATGGTAACTGCTCAGCTTGAGGTGCTGGATGGTGCTGGAGAGCTGCAGTGGTGCCAGCATCCCTGGGTGACCTCTCTTGGTGACAAGTTGCTCTGCTGGCATCTCCTGCTGGTCACTGCCTGCCTCAGGGACAACTCTGGCTCCCCTGGGAGGTCACCACCATCTCCAGGCCTTTTTTGAGCATGAGACCTTCCGAGGTCTCTGGGCTGACCTCACTTTCTTCCCATCCCACAGGCTCTGCTGGTGTACAACATCATCAAGTACCAGCCCTCTCAGTATGGCAGCTACCGCTTCCCTGCCTGGGCCGAGGTCTTGGGCATTCTCATGGGAGTCCTCTCCTGCCTGATGATTCCTGTGGGCATGGTGGTGGCCATACTCCAAGAAGAAGGGACGCTGTGGGAGGTAGGAGGTGCTGGGACCCAACATTGCTGGGGAGCACCCCAGAAACATGTAGGGATGACCATGACTCTCTGCTGAGCCTGTCTCCTCCTGCAATTTCTGCATCCTCTCTCCTGGAGGTGTGTGTGTCTGTCCCTCCTTGCTGCCCATGGGGTGTGAGAGACCTCACATCCCAGGGCATTTCCAGCAGTGACCCTTCCTGCCATGGCAGGCAGGTACTGAGTCACACTGCTCCCCAGGGGGCAGCCCTGTGGGCATCTCCCTCCAAAACAAAACAGCCTTCTCACATCCCCATCCTCCCCCAGTCTCCTGGGATTGCAGAGGGGTGAGTGAGCTGCCAGGTGGGGGTCCCAGCCGGGGAGCAGAGCGGACGCCGGTGCAGGGTGCCGGTGCTGCCTCCGCCTGTTCCCTCACAGCGCATCCAGCAAGCCATGCATCCCACCATGGACTGGGGCCCGTCGCTGGAGGAGAACCGGACCGGCATGTACGTGGCGAGCCTGGCTGGCAGCCAGTCCCCTAAGCCGCTGATGGTCCACATGCGGAAATATGGGGGCATCACCAGCTACGAGAACACAGCTATTGAGGTGGACCGGGAGATAGAGGAGGAGGAGGAGTCCATGATGTGAGAGGACTTGGTGCTCCACAGGCTGAGGGAGGCTCACAACCCCAGTTTGCACAGGTTGCACTGTGGCACTTCAGGACGGCTTGGGGGGGTCTTTTGGGGAGCAGTCGGGAGCTGCTGATCCTGCCGTCCTCCTCACCACCGCCCTGGCCCCGCCAGGACAGAGCTGCTGCCTGTCCCAGTACCCCCGAAGTGTTTCTGCTCAGTGTGTGATAAGTGTGTGTGTTTGTGTGATCGTGTTTGTGTGATCGTATCTGGTGCAAGTGTTTGGGCTGCCTTGCTCCCACCCTTGGCCCCAGCCCTGTCTTCTCTGTGAAGGGATGCTCGGGCTGTGGGGATGCTCGGGCTGTGGGGATGCTCGGGCTGTGGGGATGCTCGGGCTGCGGGAAGCAGGGAGAAGGAGGAGGTCCTCTGTGTTCATCTGTTCTCTGCTCATGTGTATTTAATGCAAATAACCTACGAACATGTGTGAGAAAGGACTGTAATATCCTCTATGCTGGTGTGTATCAGTGCACTCCTTTCATATGGAGGTACTCCAGCAAAACCAGTGCAAATCTGTGTCCTGCTAAAGAAATCTGACCTTGGAAATGAGCAGCTAAAAACAATTAAAAGGGGAGAAAAATGCTTTATAAACAAATGAGCTTCCATGTATTTAGGTTCCTCAGTGGATCTGGGCAACTCTTCCCTGCAGTGCCTGGCAGGGCTGGGGTAAGCTGAAAGAAGGGAAGAGGCTGGGTGGCCCATTCTCCATGTGTGCAGGAGGTCAGGGACAAGTCTCAGCTGGACTCAGTGCCAAAGGAAGACCCGTGTCCACCCCTGAGGTGGATCTGAGGGCTGTCTCTAGCTCTGGGCACTGCTTTTCCCAGGGAAAGGTGGAGGGCTGGGTTTCAGTGCCTGTGTGTGGTTTTAGGGTAGCTCAGCCAGAGGCCCCTATCGCATAGGGCCTGTCTGCTGCTGGGGCTACCAGGGAGCTCCTGGGCAGGGCTGTTTGGGTCTGATGCTGCCAGTCCCTGTCACCCCAGTGTTGTGTGCACCTTCCCCCATGTACTGTCAGCTCGCCATTAAAAAGCAGTGTGTCACATAGCATCTGTGTGTGTTATTTGTGTGGGTCTCCAGCATGCAAGAAGGGCACATCCAAGGGGTATGCAGTCTTCTTGGGCTTTGTACTGCAAATCTCCATTCTGTTCAGGTAAAAGCCAAAAACCCAGGATAAAGAGGAAAATTAGGGTTTATGTCTGAATTATGGATCTTGCCCCATTGCCGTGGTTTATTAATCCCATGGGACATGCAACTTTGAGTCCAGCACTATGGGCTGAGCCTCCATGGTGAAACCTAGCATGCAGCTGTGGTTTTCCTTAATGACCCTTTCCTATGATGGAAAATATTTAAGTATTGCCTTCTCCTCTCTGGGAGCATAGAGCTAGCTCTGACACCTCCTCATACCTGCCTGTCTCCCCACACCCAGGGATGCTGAGCTCCCTTCCTAGCCAGCTCTGCCCTTCCTTTTCCCTGCAGGATCACTGATGACTTTCCACATCCTCCTTGCCATACCCCACCCTGGCTGCAGTGTGCAGGGATGATGGAGGTCCCCCAGCCACAGCTTCTCTGGGTGCGTGGGCCTCTGGCAGCACCATCATGCTGCAAAACACCTTCATCCGCTAGCTCCTGGGTTAATCATTAGAGACCGGCCATAAAAGTGTCGCTGATGGAAAGTTCAGGCCGTGGCGGCTGGGGAGCGCATAAACATTTATGGCCCCAATGAATCCCTCGCTCTAACCTTGACACTATTTACTGAGCTGGAGGCCTCGGGAGGTCACGGTGTTGCCCAGCCATCACCGTGGGTGCTGGCTGGGGAGCCCGAGCTGGGAGGGACACACACGTGTGTCTGTGTGGTGTGATGGAGCAGGTGACGGGCTCGAGCATGTCACAGTGTTGCTGCCAGCCACAACGTACCAGAGCAACCAGGAAAGCCTGACCCCTCACACAGCAGGGAGACAGAGGTGCCTTTGGCTGTGCAAGGGGCTCTGATCTGTGGGTGTGTGTGACCTTGCTGCCCACCTGTGTGGGGTCCTGCCACATTCCCCCAATCTTCCCTGTAATCCCGGGATACTCAAGGCTCTCCCTTAGCAGCTGCCATCAAACAGTGTAGTGTTGCAGAGTGATGGGAAAGATGGAGCAGAGGCTACGCTGGGGATGTGTAACTGGTAGGGAACAAATCTGACAGCAGCAAGGGGAAACCAAGCCCCAGAGGTGCCAGGGCAGTGGCACAGCCTGAGGACGTGTCCCCTGGGCCATGTGTGGCTGTGCGCGGGGAGACGTGGGACTCGCTGTTGGCAGCACGCCCTGTTCTGGGGGTTGGCGATGCACCCGCACCCTACACTGTGACCTAGGGTGCGATGCCATCCTCCCCACGTCCCCAGTGACGGGTACTCCCTCCCCTTCTGCGCCTTCGCCCCCCCCCCGGCGTGTCCCTCTGCCCTCCCGCAGAGCCCAGGGCTTTCTCCCAGGCATTTGCAAGACCCTTGGGCCCCGCCGGGTGCGGTGGGCGAGGAGGGGTGGCCAGGGGACAGGAGCAGTCCTGGGACTGCCCGGGCCTGTGCCGCTCGTCCTGTCTGTGCCGGGCTGGGAAGGGAGTGCCAGTGGGGACAGGAGCGGTCCGGTGGTGACACCTGCTGGGGCCGCGGCACATGGCAGGGGGGGCCCACGGGGCAGCTGGGGC